ACCCTGCGACCACTCCCCCCCCAATGTGTATGGTGCAGAACGGAGCAGGGCAGAGCTTGATTCCGCATGGTGCGGGGGTAATCCTTCCTTGTTTGGGAAGCAATCAATGCCCCTTGCCCATGCTACATCCATATCGAGTAGGGAAGCTGTCTCCATGGGAGCAGTGGCTGAGGCTCTTCCAGTCCTAATGGGAAGAGGCGTGGGTTCGCTTTGTATGCAATTGGATAATTTGAAGGATACGGATAAGTGTGGGGAAAAAAAAAAAAAAAAAGTTCCTGCGATGTCAACGAAACTAAAACAACCTTTCACCCAAGATTTTGTCCCTCCCGGCATCCGTTCAAAAAAGTTTAGCACGGACCCTGTGCAAAGACGACACGCGTAAATCAAGACATGGTCCCAAAAAAAAAAAAAAAAAAACGTCATGCCACAAATGTGATGCATACATGGCTGCCGTCTCCAAGCCCAACCCCCCACGCCAGTTCCATCTTTCCTGGGAAGACGAAATCCAACGATGGGAGAATTACGCAGAGAGGTGCTTGCCGTCCCATGTTCATCATTGGAGAAAGTACAAACTTGTGAACTTCTTATGTGCAGACAGATGTGTCCAGAATGCAGAAGAGCCTTTCATCATCATCATCATATGTTCGTTTGCCATCCATTTCTTCAAGACAGCTTCTGCTGTTAAAGGAGTGATAACAAAGCGTTGCCACTACAAACTTTCTACCATACACTGCGCCACAGGTGAGCTGTAGCGATTTGCTCCACGTGCCGTGGGGCCTAGCAAATGCACAACGTAGCTCCCCGTAGACAACTGAAATATACCGCAGCCTAGGCGACCAGCCGGGCCGCCCGTGTGACCTCCTTTTGCCGGCGGGCGGCGCTGTCGTGCAAGACATCGGGAAGGTCCATATTTATTAAAAAAAAAAAAAAAAAAACCGTCCAAAACATCCGGGAGAAAAACTACTAGGCTACCAGCCGGGCCGCCCGGGTGACCCTTATCGTGCAACACATCGGCAAGGTCCCACAAAACACACAAAAAAAAAAAAAAACCAAAAAAAAAACACAGAACCATCCAAAACATCCGGAAAAAGCCTATGTTATGCAGGAAAATAAACTGAACTTCTCCTGCCTCCTAGGGTAACATCGAAACTCTTTACCAAATTTAAAATAATAGTAATTTAATACTTGTTTAAATGTTTTTGTTCTTTTTGTTTTTTTTTGGCCCGGCCGGGGGCCAAGTCCCACAAGCACCGTTGGGCTAGCTCAACGCAATGGTGTGACACGGTTTTTGCGACTTAAAACATAAAAACAAATGCAATAAAGGGATCAAACGCTGCTGACAGCTTTTTTTCCCCCTATTTCCCAAAAGACAAGAACAGCCAAATGCTACTGAAATCTTTGTCCTTGCTTTCTAAAACGTAAAATGGAAAACACAACCATACTCAGTGAAAGGCTCCGCATACTACGCAACGTCAGAGACGGGGACTCGCTACTAGAACATGCAACGAACGTAGACAGTCCTCCTGACTTGGTGCATTCGCAGAAACGAGTTTGGGGCTGCACAGCCAAACACAGCATGAACATTCTCTGTCGGAGTCTCCTCCCACAAAGGTCATGATGGCACAAGCACCATCGAACCCATACCCCACGCCAAGTGGGGTATGTAGGGGGCGTTGTATTCGGGTGGAGGGATTTTTCAGCACCTTTCTTTTGATTCATTGTTTTGAACCAAAAAACAAAAACAAAAGTCTTTGTATTTTATACTACCTAAGAACAACCTCTGGACGTGCAGCTTATTCGGGTGGAGGGATTTTTCAACACCTTTCTTTCGAACCGAAAAACAAAAACGAAAGTCTTTGTATTTTATACTACCTAAGAACAACCTCTGGACGTGCAGCTCCCGATGCATCTCAGACGTCACGTGGGGTCACACACACACGTTTAACTACTTCAACGTTGAAGTGCCTCAACCGTGTATGTGGGACTTAGCCCCGGGCAAGTGTCTGGTAGCCTAGACCGCAGCTAATATTCTGTCTTCCTCACATTTGTCAAGTCGTACAGCACGACCCGTACTTGAAACACCAGGATCCCTCCTTGACATAAAGGATCCTACCTTCACCGGAATCCAACACGCCGTCATATCATACATAGTCATCAGAATAGAACACACCGTAATATCATAGCTGTATTTGGACTATATTTCAGGCTAGGTACAGCAATAACGACCATGCCTTGTATTCAGGCGAAGGTATTGTCGAGATGGCCTTGAACATAGACAAAAAATCAACTCTCTCATGAGAGCATGGTTTTCCACCAATACGTCAAACGCTTGCAACATTGCTTGGCACTTAAACCACCAGCCCAGCTACCGATGCCGACGAGCCTGGAATGCCCCTGCACGAGGATTTTCGCCGAAGCGCCGCGGTACCATTTCAAAATTGTTTTGGCTGGCGCTTCCAGCCATTGTGGTCCGGTACCCCGAAGCCCTAACGGCGCTGCGCGTTAACGGGAAAGCGCCGCGGCCGATAGCTGGGCCAAGTACTGGTGGTTTAACCACACCGGCTCTTTTTTCTATTCCAATCAAAATGCTATTCAGATTCAGAGAGGCCTTCAAAGGAAAAGACTACACACTTCCAATTTCAAAAGCTGTTGAAAAAAAAAAACAAAAAAAGCTGGGGATGAATACAAATTTCAAAAGCTGGGGATAAATACAAATATCGGAGTATGGATTTCCTCAGTGTACGAATTCGGAGGACCCAGATTCATATAGGGGTTCCACCAACATGTTCAATCAAAGATTCTTTTTCTTTTAGATATTTGGGACACCTTTCTAAAGAAAAAAGCACATCTTTATTACCATCATCATAGAAATATAAATATAAATATAAATATAAATTGCGTTAATGTTACTTGCTCAGTCTTGCTGGCAATGTTAGCCTTTCAGCTATGCTGGGTTGTCGTCAGGCCAGACATGCCCGGGCCAGTTGGACAGAGTGTCTGTGGCCTGGCAAAACCAGAGGGGTTAGTAACGAGACAAGAATTCCTCGCTCCCCCCCCCCCCCCCCCCCCAAAGCAGTCAGAATCCTGTCTCAACTTCGATTTAGGTGGTGGGTCATCGACGGCGGGTTGGGGAGCATAAACAGTGACTAAAGGGGTTTAAAATGGTATATTTCCTCTTTTTTTTTATTTAATAAGAGGGGGCCCTTAGGGCTTCGTAATTCGAGTCAAGAAATGGAGGCCGAGACATCCTCAACAAACCAACCCGGAAGTTACAAATAGTCACCACTTTTTTTTTTCTTTTTTTTTTTTTAAGAATAGTCACCACTTTAACTTCTACAGTTGCAGGCCTTGGGAAGTATGTCTAGGGACAGAATGTCAGGGCAGCGGTCCTGGAAAATGGTATATTTCGCCAAACGTGTTCTCATTTATTTTTTATCTTTTGAAATTAAAGAGGAATTTCGAGATGGCCCTCGGCCAAAAGTTGTTTGTAATGAAATTGTACACAACATTTTTTTTTTTTTCACGAGGCTTTTTTTTCCCCCTTCCCTTTTCAGTATTACGCTCTGGGACAACCAGGGCCCAGCCCGCCGCGAGGTGCCCGGAAGGGTAACACCGGCGACCTCCCCCCAGCCGGGCCGCCCGGGGACCAGCACAGCTTTTCAGTATTATTTGCTGTTCATCTAGATTTAGTAGCGAGTGCTGCCATTTCCACTTTTGACACAGAGACATGCATTTGGTCGCCTTTCGACTGGATATTCACTTCTGCCACAGAATGACAGCAGGACCACTTCATCCACCTTCGATTGGCATGCATTTGGACTACTTTTGATCGGATCGGAAAGTGTTCGTATCATTTGGACGCCTTTCGATCTGGATTAGAAACCGTTCGAAGCTGAAGACACCTTTGTTCACACTTTCACCCTCCTACAGAAAAAGAGCGACACCCATACAAAGACGTACTCGATCAACACATCTGCTCCTGTACACCCGATGAGAGTCTCCCATTCGAAAACGAAAACGCATTTCCACTTTCAAAAGCACGAACCTCGTGATGAGAGTCTCCCATTCGAAAACGAAAACGTAAACAAAAACGCACTTCCGATAATAGGAGTGTGACAGGCATACAGAAGCCGAGCAGCACATTTATCATACAATACAGCCGCAATGAAAGCTCACAGGGGTCGAGACGAAAAAGTTACGCTCATCATTCCACAGGTTCCACTGAACTGGATCGACACTTGATCCATGACACACATTTCGCATACCACTACAACTTCGCTAGCACACGGTTTTTTTTAGTCAGGTAGCGGCAGTGGTCGGGACCGTCACGACGCGGACATGCTGTGCCTCTTGTGCCAGGGGCGTATCTGGAGTGTACGTTTTGGCTGTGACAGACCTCTCTTTGTTTCGTGGGTGTTTTGCTGCATTGTGATGGGGTGTGAACTGTCAGCCTGTAAGGTTTTCCATCTGGTGAGGCCGAGGGATAGTCTGGGTATCAGTTGTCGGGCAGCCGTTGATGATTTTAATCAGTTAATCAGTTAGGGGATTCTGCAGACTGTTGAGGGCTCAGCCTCCTGATGAGTCGGTGAAACTCTCCGACAAAACAGTTTGTCACAGCCGCTGGGGATTACAGCCTCCTGACGAGTCCGTGAAACTTCGACGAAACAGTTTGTCACGGCCCCTCGTTTCTCGTCTGCCTCTCTGCCTACGGTGTACCGGGCAGCTGCCCGGTTAACCGTAGGCAAAGAGGGAGAAGAGAACAACAAACGAGGGGCTGTGACAAACTGTTTCGTATCGTCAAACAGAACTGCATGGTAAACCGTAGGCAGAGAGGGAGAAGACCCACAGACGAGGGGCCGTGACATAAGCCAGAAGAAAACAAGAAACTCCACATCATGCCAGGTCTTCAATGGGACCACGAGAACAAAAGTAGGCACACAAAGATTCCAGATAGACACAAAGCAAACCTCACTCTCATTGTTGGGGTCCAGTCTATGAGAGCAATCATCGCAAGTTCATTACGCTTTCGGGCGAGACAGCTCCATTTCGAAAACCATCCTCATTGCAGCAATCTCCGTCTATCTGCATTTCTAGCTTCTCCTTTTTTCCGGAAATGCTGCACTACACACAGAAAGACAACCTCGGAGAAACAACAAAAAAGAAAGCGGACAGCTTTCGGGCGAGACAGCTCCATTTCGAAAACCATCCTCATTACAGCAATCTCCGTCTATCTGCATTTCTAGCTTCTCCTTTTTTCCGGAAATGCTGCACTACACAGAAAGACAACCTCGGAGAAACAACAAAACAGAAAGCGGACAGCCGATGATATTCCAGATAGGGAAGCATAGCAAAGAGAAAAAAAACTCGAACAACACACAATGATGACCGAAAGGACTTGCCTCAGTGCACGCGCTACACATTACCAGTCCATGCAGTCAAGGACCCCTTCATAAAGTCGCCTCCCCCCAAGACACCATGTCAGAAGCACGTGCTGGGTGCTGGACAAGAGCAGGAAAAGGACAGCAACTCCAGGACGAGCCAAACGCACCAAGGTGAACTGCACAGACATTAAATGTTGCTTCCCTCAACAAATGGTTGACCAATAGTATACAAACAACATGACGTCAACATAAAAAGACCCGATGCTTTGTACCCAAAGCACACCTTACGAGCTAACTTCCGAAGGTGTTCCACAACATGACGTCAACATAAAAGCTAGAGGGACAATGGAGGCCGAATTGCGTATTAACTAGGAGAGGCGGTGAGAGGGACAAAAGGCTCGCTCAGTGAACGCTAGTGTCCTGGTAAACCTATTGTAGGTGTCTAGATAGGAAGGGGTGGGGACAGGGTTGGGAAGGGGGAAGGGGGGGGGAGGACGTTTAAGAAAAGGCGTGAAAGGGAAAAGAAAGGCCAAAGGAAGGAAAACTGATTTCTACGCCTAAAATCGCTTATTGTGGAAACTACATCAAAAATGGATGAGAAACGCTACTGCTGTCCTATAGCAAACAAGGACCCGAAAACCCATCCACCTGCATCCCTTTCCCTGCTCCTCTCTTGTGCACCGATTCCACCCACTCTCGGTAGAGAGAAGTCGAGCCCGTCGTAACAGCAGTCGCTCTCAGTACCGCCGAGGGCCACCAAGCGGCAAGGCATTCGACCCTGTCTGCATGAACCCACCACCATATCCTCGCCCTCCAAAACCGCGGCCCCGGTCTCGGAAACCTGCAGACAGTTTACAACAAAATCCTCCGTGTGAGTCTATATGGTTACAAAGCCAAGCCAACAACAATAATACTAGTCTCCGAAACGAACACATAGAAACACGATACGTCTCACTCTCGACTTCGCCATGATCAGAGGAAGACGCTACAGTCTTCACCCTAATACAACATACGGTCATTATCTCTGCATCCAGAGTCAAAGTTGCCCCAAATACAGCTATAATGACAGTACGTTGTATTCCAGCGAAGACACTAGCAAGACGTGCAAGCACGATAAATCTGCGAGAGAACACTTTCCCACCAAATAAAAGCTGAGAGTGGCAAAAAATGCCAGGACATGTCCCCAACCATCCCATGCAAACTGCCAGGACACATCCACAACCATAAAAAACCCCTACACACCTAAATCCCACTGCACATACTTATTCAAACAAAGGGAAACAGTTCGCCGGACATATCTGCACCTGAAACACCCCCACTCGTTATCTCCACAATAGAGCATCGAATCCATAGACCAGTCAAGCTCAACCGGAAAATGAATACAACTATCGCCACGGAGATCGCTTATCAGGGGACATAACATAAAGGTGGACAGCAGCCACACCACGCCCCCATAACGCAGATGCAGTGCTCATACCAGACTATCCCCCCCACATGATCCGCACCCAATGATTCATTGGGGTAAAAATGAAAACAGGTTCTTGCGCCCGCCAGACCGACAACGGGGCAACAGAATTGCCGGAGTTGGTGTGACCTGCAACTGATGGCTGCCATGCAGTCCTGCAGAGAGACACCTCAGGAAGTGCCATGCAGTGGAGCAGAGAGACACCTCAGGAAGTGCCATGCAGTCGTGCGGAGAGACACCTCAGGAAGCGAGTCATCCAGAGAATTCATCTACAGCCCAGCATTTTTCATCCCCCCAGCTTTTTTCGTCCCTGGCTTTCATTACACCCACCCCTTCGCAGGCCATAAACACAACTTCGATTACTGGGGAACATGCTCCCACTCTCACAGCTTGGATTAGTCCCCCATCCAGTTTCATACTTTCAAACTCCGAAAAAAGAACGATCACAATCGACAAAATGAAGAATGAAACCCAGCTTGGAACAATTGGCTTGGCTCAGTTGCTACACCCATGGACTGTTGAAATACAGACTCGAATGCAAATGATCGAATCCCAGTATTGCAAAGAAAACTTCGAATTTACCCCGGGTGGTGGTCAGGTCGAAGATGGTATCTCGCACCATCACCCTTTCATCATAAGAAAAACGAGCGAAGCTGGTAGGAGGGAAAGAAAACAAGGAGAAGAACAGCATGTGAATGCAAACAAACCATCTGTGCACTGACTAGATGGAAAGAAGCAAGATCAAGAGAATCACACAGAATACCCCGACCAACCGAGAAAAGACCAAAGCTCTCATTCAATAGAGTGCTGGTCTGCCGCGACCGAAGTCATGGATTCCGATCTCGTTTTTTTTTTCCCGGGAGGTATGGCCGAGTGTGGCTGAAGGCACATTGCTTTCCTAGATCAACATACAATATCGTCGTATCCTGGTTTCAAATCCCATTTCCTCCGTTACGTCGGGGCGGGGCTTATTAGTTCGTTCAAGTGGTAGAACGTGTGCTTTGCACAAAGTATGAAGTGGCGGCAAACAAATGAAAGCAAAAAAAATGTCACTCCACTGAACAGAAAGAAGCAAAGACAAAGAGACTGAAATAGGTAGCCGGACGAACCAAAAAAAGAGCAAACCACTCATTAAGTGCTCGCCTACACTCAGTACCAAGGAGAGAGAGTGAGAGAGTGGAGAGGAGAGAGAGAGTGGAGAGGAGAGAGAGAGAGAGAGGAAGGAGACGCTCACACACCTCGGCCACCACCTCTGTTCATGCGTGCCATGCTCAAAAGCTGCGGATTGATCTTCTGCCTAACTACAAAGAAGCGAGACAAAGAGATTCCACACGGAATGGCCGGCCGAACCGAGAAAAGACCAAACCACTCATTCAGTGTTTGCCTACACTCAGTACAAAGGAGCGAGAATGGAGAGATGAGAGAGAGAAAGGAGAGGCTCACACACCTCCACCACCACCTCTGTACATGTGTTCCATGCTCAGAAGCTGCGGATTCATCTTCTGTGCAACTAGAAAGAAGCAAGACAAAAAAGAGATGCACATAGAATAGCCGGCCAAACCGATAAACGACTAAACCACTCACTCATTCCGTGTTTTGCTACACTCATTACCAAGGACAGAGAGAGCGAGAATGGAGAGGAGACAGAGCCACAGAGAGAGAGAGAGAGAGAGAGAGAGAGAAAGGAGAAGCTTACGCACCTCCACCACCACCTCTGTTCATGCTTGCCATGCTCATAAGCTGCGGATTCACCTTCTGCCCAGCCTCCTGTAGAATTCCAATGAGCTCCTTGGCATGCTTTGCATTTCCACTTGTGAAAAAGGTGTACGATGTGCCTCTTGCTCCTGCACGTCCAGTCCTACCAATACGATGGACATAATCCTCGCACGTTCCGGGAAAGTCATAGTTGACTACCACTTTGATGTCCTTCACATCTGATACCATCGGAATTGCAAGGCCATAATAGTCAGCCCTGTCACGAGCCTAGTCTCATCACGACCAGTCTCATGCTTCATGAAAAGAGCAAAAAAAGAGAGCAACAAGCCACCTTCATTGTGCAAAGTGGATATACTCACTGTGAACGACAGAAACTCCAGTGGAAAATACGGGACGATGTGTCAGTTTTCAGAGTTCGAGGCCCGACTTCTTTCCTTCCGCCGCTACCCGGCCCGACAGGAAAGAACCACAGGAACGATGGAACAAAAGCGCAACGTGGCAAGCAGGCACAGATACACAGACAGAAAAGGCATTTCGATTGTGGTATACTAGCTGCTGAGGAGAGGCCCTGCTGAGCCTGCACGAGAGTTGATTGCTGTGTGTCATCTATATACTTGCAGGAGCACTGGAATCCCACACGGCATATTACAAAGCATGCCCGAGGCATGCAGGCAGTAGGAACACGACGATTATCACAATAATAAATAAATAACACACACGGGAGCAGACATTCTCGGCGGACAGCCTCAACAAAAAAAAAAACGGAGAGGGAGGACAGAAGGCGCCCAGATAGTCCCTCACCTAAACAGGAAGGGGACTAACGTGCCAGATGTTCACAGAGGGCACAATCTCCAATCTTGTGGGTCCAACTCCTCCGCAGCGCGCAGCAAGACTCTACATTGCGGACCCTCTCCCTCGAATCCCTTGATGCAGTCACCGGATTGTGATGATGGAGGGAACACCTTCACGACCTCCATCGTCGCCGAGAATCCGCCAGCCATTTTCACCCCCCACATGAAGAGAGCCATCACTTTCCTGCCCTCCACATGAGGAGATCCTCCTGTTTCTCTCAAGGATCCTCGACAATCCGGCACCACATCCCTCCACAGCAAATTACTGTCGGGCGCAGAGAGGGATTCAAGAGCCCTAGCACCCCTTCGTTCGGGGAAAGCCAGAGCACACACGTTTTTCCACCCCCAGGTGCCCATTCGTTTTTAGCGTAAACGGAACTCAACGGGATGAAGTAGCCTGGCGAGGCGGGTGGTGTGGGGAGGGTACGGTACTCGATAGGATCGTGGGGCTGCATGGGGGACAGGGGAGATGGTTGACCCAAGAAGGGTAGGGAGAACTTCCCGAGAGGGGAAGCGCCAGCGGGGAACCCGTGGAAGCGAGAGAGGGGGACTACCCGTTCTCAGGAATTGCGTATTCATGGCCCCGCCCACAGACTACTATTCTCAACCCCTCTTGCATCAACAAGCTGGGAAACCCTCACTCGCGGTCCGAATGGCAAGGGAGTTGCCATACTTCAGTCACAACTCCCCCACTGAAGGCTCAGGTGCGATTCGCAAAAAGGTGGAAGAGGAGTTCACGGCCCTGGCGGTAGCAGCTTTGGGATTCACCGCAGTCTCCCCGCAGTCTTCAGCACCGCCAGGCCGCTGCACAAGGGCTTCTCTCTTCTTTTCATCTGAAGAGTGTATACATCCAGGTGCCACCGCTGTCCTCCGTCCACCTCCGGCGCCTTACCACACCCAAAGCCATCGTCGTGAGCCTCGCTGTCAAATCATTGGCATTGCTCAATAACAGCGCAGCACTCGTGTTGTACCGGCAACCACGACGACCATTCGACCACAAGGATATCCATCCATGCATCCATCCAGCCATCCATCCATCCATCCATACGCTTGGACGCCAGAGATTGCAACGGCGGTCACCACCAGGTGGAATTCTTACGTTCCTAGAGGCTTCCTCTTCTCAAATTACAGACCGAGCAACCTTACGCACCAACCAAATTGCACATCTTCACAAATGAATCAGCCGGCAAACATCCAAACGATTAGCAAAAAGCCATGGCATGGTGTTAATCAACCTTCCAGCAACACCCAATCACGTCCTCACCACTCAACCTCATGACTAGGCACAAACATCCACAGCACAACAAAAACATGACTGAAAACGAGCATAAACAGCATAACTGCATCCCCATTTAAATCAAGATCCACTACCGCAAAGGACATTGCTGTTAATACATTTGCCACATGCAAGCAATTGAACTGGGACTTCCAATACAACAACACCAATTGGCAACCACAGCACTTTCTGTACAAGCCACGTCACACAAAGACACAACCACCACACAGACCCGACCACCACCAAGACACCTGCCATCGCAAGACCACCACCACCACCACCACCCGCCTTAAAAAACATACCGAGACCACGCGCAGCAACATCCGTAGCTGTCATAATTGGGCTCTTGCCGGCTTTGAACTCCGACAGCACCCAATCACGTTCTGCCTGGCTTTTGTCTCCGTGAATAGAAAGGGCTGGCCAACCATCCATGCGCAGCTGCCTTGTGACTTGATCGCAGCCTCGTTTCGTTTCCATGAAGATCAGAATGCGACCCCCATCCATAATCTGCTCTAGAAGCTTTACCAGCCTGCACACGACGCAACAACACAAGTGTCTCATTAAAAACCCACAAGTTGATTTGGACCCCAGCTCAAATCACATTGTTCGACTCTGCCCCGTTGACATGGCATAAAACATGAGCATCGGAAAACACAACAACTAACAAACTATTTTCTCTGTACCCTTGCTTTTTAGGGAGTGCAGAGCAGGCGAAGTGGCACATCGGCGCAGAATGTGACGGAGTTCAGAGAGGAGATTACAGGGAAGATGCAAGAGGGGCCAGATCGCCAACATCCGCGGAAGAGGCAAATGTGGAGCACCCAAACACAATCATTGAAAATGTCCAGACACATTGGGAATTACATAAGAGACATTTTTACAGGCGACTGATAACCAAGCTGAAGAACAGTTTGCCCAGTGTATCAAAAGTATTAAAAAGTCTGCATCCTTTCAAAATGACCGAGATCCACACGCATGGAAGAGGAAAGCGAAGAAAACGCATGGAGCATTGAATGCAATCCTTGGAAAACTTCCGATAAATTCGGAATGCCTCTGCAAATCGCATAACAATGACAACAATCAGTGACAGGTTCAGATACATCGAGGGCCTGTTTTACACCGCGACCTCACCCCAAAACAGTCGCAAAGATAAAAAAAAAAAAAAGAGGAATGGTGAATTAACCCGCGTTGGTTGCTAAGGAACTCTTTGAGTAAAATTTGAACAGAAGTCGAAGTCGATCAGTTGACCATCTACGTGTTCAGTGATAGGCTTATAATTGTGCAAAAGCAGAATGCAAACTTGGACCAACTGATTTCAACAACTCTTGTTCATATTTTAGAATTTGAGGAATCTGAATTTGATATAAATAGCCTTCGAAAGCCACATGAAGAACCAACCACCACCTGTACTGCACAAGAATAGACTCCTCTGTGAAACAGAGAGAGAAAAGAAAAGACAAAGCAAAGAGAGACAGAAAACTAGAAAACACTCTGCTCATGTACATGAACTTTCAACCAGAGAAGAAAGGCAGTACAACTGTTAGAGTATCAACTCTCCCTACGTAGAAACGAAACAGTCAAACCCACACAAAAAGAGAACACGAAAGAGGTAATTAACACCGACAGCATGTACACGTACATGTTCCATCAGAGGAACACGCTAATCACCTCCCTACATGGAAAGGAAGCTTGGATTCCATGTTGTTGTGCTTGATTGCAAGGCTTGACTAGGGGTAGTCAGGCTTGAACCATCATCATACGGCTCAATTGCCGCAGACAGACAAGACCGACTCGGTTATACCTCCAGCGCAACCAACTCCCACCTTCCCAACCTCATACGGCTCAATTGCCGCAGACAGACAAGACACAGCCACCGGATTCAGGACAGCCAGTTAAAACACCAGTTCGCCCAAAAAAGCTAAGACTGGCGCTAGCGAGTTTTTCCACGGCAAGGCCACAACGCTTCGAGCCTGGGCCAGTCCCAAACATGGAAGGCCAGTACGAAGAAAATGAAGTCTGCGACCCTTGGAAGGTAAACTCGTCAACATAGCTTCATGTGAACTGGTGGTTTAGTCAGAATTAAACCACCAGTACACATGCCACTCGTCGGCCTCGAGCCCCTTTCGGAGGTCATCCCCGCCACTCTGATTTGTTTTAATCAACAGCGCACGCATGCCTCCAATATTTTTGGAGAGGCTCAATAAGACTCTCAACTTGGCTTGGGCCATGTGCTTGTGCTTTAACGAACAAAAAAAAAAAAGCAGGCAGATCATACATACACTGCAAAGCTGAGATTGCACATAGGCAGATAATACAATATGCAGTAGAAAGTACTAGACACAAGTGACATCAGAAATGAAAAATGAGTAGGAAACAGAGATTGGCAGATACAAAAGAATGGGAGAGCAAAGAAGAGCACAAGGAGACGACACACATTCAGGATGCAGTCTTCCTCAACCCCGCCTGTCACAACTAGGAGATAGCGACAGATCTGCACCCGCCATCTGGGAGGCCAAACAAGGTCAAAATGGAAACGACTATGTGGGAGGACCCCAATTTCTCCCAATGTTTACAAGAACGAGCACACGTTTAGAATCTAAGGAGGAAACAACTGATGAAATGGCCAGCGTCAAGGGTTGATGAAAGAAAATGCGAATGGGAAGTGGGAAGCCTGAAACAGGGATTTCCTAAGCGGCTGCAGCAGCAGCACCTACTCACTCGATCACTTCTCACAAAGACGGTCATAACGTCTTAAGACGTTCCACCTAGCTCCAGTATCGAAGGAGGTCACAAACTACCGTCTTCCCCCGAACATAACACTTATAATTTCAAAAAAAAACCCTAACTCTAATCGAACGCAAATGCATTGTATTCGAATTTGACGGCTGGTCTAACAGAACTCACAGGCATCGTATTCGAACACAAAGCAAACTGTGCATTGTGTTCGTTTACAACGCATATGCACTACGTTCGAGGGAACACAGTAGCAGAGATTCACTTGGTGCTTCACAAGAATTATAGTAGTACGCCTTCAGTCCCAATGCGATAAAAAGACGGTCTTCACCACAGATTCAACTTCTTGGCCAAGAGTAGTTAGTAATCAAAAAGGCACTTCATCACACACAAGGCTTTAGCAAAAAGACTGAAAATACTTTTCCTATATAAGGGGAACAGGAATTGAGAGTTCCAAGTATCTGGGAGTGGCCCTTACTTTGGGTACTTCTCATGTTCAGACACAATCTCCACAACTTGATCTATCATGTGATTGGCCTTCAAATTGTGAGAGCCAATGATAACCTGTTACACATCAGACAGCGACAGATGTCATGCACACAGATCAATCAACAGGAAAACTGAGGGATAAAAGACGAAGACCATCATTCAGAGATTCGAAAAAAGAGAGGCAGCAGTCATCCACGCATGGATATACTACAGGAAGAACAAGCCGCAGATACCCATGCAAGCACTGCTTCAACAAACTCTCTTGAACTCTACTCTGCTGCTGAGGCTCTCTCACCATACTCCCTAAAACATCTGCATTGTTCATTGATGCCATGGTGTGCACGAGACATGACTCATTTGATGTACAGAAATATATCCATCGGAATGCCAGCCCATTGCCATAATCTGTACATTATCACCCGCAGGACATCCTCCATGCACGCACGATTCAAACCGGCACCAAGTTTCTTAACCACTACAGCCATGGCACAGTGTACAAAAGTGAACCCGTGCCGGTCATGATATCCACCCCACCCACCCTTCCATGGATGTAGTGTCCTTTAACAGTTTGTCCAGCGGTTTTATCGACGGACCACAACATCCAGGTATGATTTCCGGGCCGGTTACCCAGTTATCAGCCACAGGACCTCCGCCGTGCAGCACGGATTCGAACGGCACCACGGTGCACACAAAACATGAATCATTTGTGCCAGCAAAAAGACAGAAATATGTCTACCGAAATGTCAGCACATTGCTGTACACCGCACTCGGTGGTCCTCTACAGTCCGCAAAACAAAACAAGTACCGCAGGGAAGGATCGAGCACGAGCACTCCTTTCCAGGACGTACCAAACAACAATTACCACCTATCCTGAACATATCTGACATTGCAGTTACATGCAGAAATTTGCCAGATGCCTTCTGTGAGTGTACCACTCCGAGCTGGGCACCAATCAGTCCTTGCAAAAGAATTAAAAGGTCTACTGATTCCTCTCGGGAGTCTCTGCCAATTGGCATCCACCAGTGCCAAGCCATTTCCAACAGTCTGCCTACCTGCACAGCAATCCTCACACGGGTCAGCCTCCAGGTATCGCCATATCGAAGTAACATGATTCCATCCTTCACTACCACTTCCCCTGTGATACCATTGTCTAAACACTATAGAAGGGATATCAAACAGCATCACTAACGTTTTCACCTGAGCAGAGCGCCCGGTTACTATAGCTGTATTTGGGCAAATACCCAGTCTAGATGCAGGGATAACGACCGGGCGTTCGATTCGCGGGTGAAACCGCTACGGTTTCACCCGAATCAAAAGCCCGCATGTCGCCCCCGGCACACACTGCAGCACTGAACACACCAGCAATTACCTTATCCTTCTTTTCGTGAATTTGAAGCGTGCAGTGCAGCCGACAAGCATATAAACACCAGGTCTACGGACTTCAAGACCCAAAAATAGCACAAAAACCTGAGTGCTCCAAATGCCTCGACCTTTTTAACTGATGTTCATCCACATAGTACATACCTTGTACGGGTTATTCAGGAACTGCCTTGCAAGGACTTCAACCTCCCTGGGCCAAGTTGCACTCCAGTACAGAGTTTGCCTGTCGGGTCGAATCTGCATTTTGCAACATGCAACAGAGGCAGAAACAAGAGATTGTAAGCGACAAACATCCCTTCCAAGGGACGATCCAACCGCAATCATTCCCACAGAATACCAATGGACACACCGCACCACTTGCTGTTCTGAACAGTCGTCATTCTTCAGTGCAAACAGCTGTGAAGGAGCAGGGGTCGGAGCAGTTGCATGCCCAACCACCACTACCCTCTCCAGCCACCCAACAGGGAATTAAAAAAAAAAAAAAAAAAAAAAAAAAAAAACAACAGGACAGAAGAGAAGCATCCAGCCACCTACCGCTATCACATTCGGTGCAGTTTTTTATTACAGTCAAAGCCACCTTATGGCTGGATGACAAACTCGGAGAGCAGGTCCTTTAGCAGTTTTTTCCAATTCCGTTTCCGAGAAGATATCAAAGAGCGCTAGAAAACAGAGACAGAGACAGAGAGGGAGGAGGGGAGGGAGAGGGTGGAGGGGAAGGTGGGGCAAGGGCGGGGGGACTCGTCCACAACCCAGAAATGCCAGTTCAGTGAAATTACGTAAAGCAAACTTTGAACTACCACGCCCTTCGGAGAGATCGTGCCCTGCAACAAGTTGGCTGCATCGAAATCTGTCAAAATTAGCAGGTCAACCCTAATCCAACTGCGAGCGAAACCTTTTATGCAGTGTCCTAAGTTCTGGAAGCCAGACAAATTCCCGTTCGGTCAGACAGCTTCCATAGAACTGGCGGTTTGACAGCCGGTAAACTGCCATCCACCTGCATCTTTTTTTCATTTTCTGCCCTGCTAGGTACAGGTGGATCCTCAGAGGCAACCAATATCAGAAATCGCATCGAGATGAACAAGACAGTGCAAGCAATTCAGCCATCTCTAACTCAATACATTCTGGTACTCTAGATGTTTCGTGTTTGAACTGAATTGACAATCACAGACAGCTAGCTTATAAATTCAATTACCTGGTTCACAATCTTGCGAATCTGAGGCTCAAAACCCATGTCTAACATTCTGTCTGCTTCATCGAGAACAAGATACGTAACTCTTCTCAGGTTTGTCACCCGAGACTCTAGCATATCGATGAGCCTCCCTGGTGTGGCAATCACAACCTCAACACCTGCACAGCAACCACCGCCCAAAACGTCACAATGAGCATAGGACCATGCCTGCCATACAACCAGCTTCATAATCGCTGAGAAAACGCCATTCTCATATGTCGACCATGTGCAACTCATTCTCATCAGCATCTTTTTCAACCAAACGTCAACCAAACGTCAACCAAACATCAACCAAACGTCAACCAAACGTCGGCCAAAAGTCAGCCAAAAGTCAGCCAAAAGTCCTGCTGCAGTACCGCTGACCTCGCAAGCATTTAATGAAGTTATGAATTCAGCAGAGAGGTTTCTGGTTCAAACAGTCCTGCTGCAGTAGCGCTGACCATTCACAGAACACAATCATATCCTCGCAAAATCCACCAAGACAACCAGCACAGAAACTGTCCAATGAAGCAGCACTGCTCAAAACACTTCCATAAAATGTGGGATGCATCATCCCACTACTTGACATAATCAAGTGTGACAGAGCATCGACGGTAGGAGAGACGCCTCGCAAGCATTTAATGAAGTTATGAATTCAGCAGCGAGGTTCCGGGTTCAGCACATTCCATTCCAATCTATCACGACGAAAACCAACTGCACTACAAAGACAGAATGACCAAAAGGGGTACACAGTACAACACGCCACTTGGTGGCATCCTTTAGGCCACCACATCGTCCTCAAAAACCGACCCAAGCCTTGCAGAAACCATGGAGGAAACGAACTGCCAGCTGTTTCATGTTTCACCCCATTCCAATTCGAGCCCTGAGAAAGGGTGGGGACCACCAGGGCACGACAAGGTAGTGGCGGTTTAAACCCCAATCAGTTCGGCAGAACCTGTCCCGCACATGTTCCCTGACAGTGCGAATCCAAATCTCTGGTTACCTTCACAGAGCTCGTACGAACCTGATTCCTTTCAGTCTGCATTCCATTTCCTGGTTGCTTTTCTACCACTGGGTATGTTCCTTCTCTTTTATTTCAATGTTTTCCATTTTCTTTTTGACAATTCTGCAAAGAGAGCATCATGCAAAGCAGACAGTTTCGCATTTTGATTCCCTTCTTGTTTCCAGTTATACACAGAGCTTGTCCAAACCTGCTCCCTGACGGTGTGCGTTCAATTGCCAGGTTGTTTTCTAGAAAAGGGTATGTTCCTTGGATTTATTTCGACGTCTTCCACTTCCTTTTTGCCAATTCCTTTCTAGAAAAGGGAACATTTACACAGTGCCAACAGTTTCGCATTTTGATTCCCTTCTCGTTTCCAGTTACTGGCCACAATTTCTCATTCCGTTCGCTCCATCTCGTTCCGCTCTCATCCTGTGTTGACTGCGGTTTCATAAACTGACCACGATTCACCAGGCAATTGATCTCGTCAGCCGATCATGCAGCACTTAGGGCGTACTCACACAGCGGTGTCATAGCAGAAAAATCTGCCCATTTTGTTATCCCGATTTTGCTGAAATGCCACCACATCCGTTCACGTAGCGGCAGCAAGTCACAAAAAACACAAGCCAGACTTCCTGGCAATTGCCAAAATGGTGGTCACACAGTGCGAGGCCCAAATCCTTCAACTCTTTTTTTTTTTCTCCACAAAGTTCGTTTCGAATTTCCTTTCACAAACTCTCAAACTCAAAAAAAAAAATTGCTACCCCATCTCCAGAGGCCGTAGCAAAATGCCTTTCCTGCAACCCCCCAGGCCGCTGACATTTGATACCCCGTTTGCTGCTTTTGGCACTTTCCCTGCCTCGTGCGACTGGGCTCAGCAGCTAAATGGATCTGCACATCTAGCTCCCCAACGCTGAGGTTACAGGACGGCGCTACCCATCCCAGCATGAGCCCGGCGTCCTCCACCGTGCAAGCACGGATTCGAACCGGCGACCTTGGCCTCAAGAGCCAGGTTGGGCTCAACCATCACCGTGCAAGCACGGATTCGAACCGGCGACCTTGGCCTCAAGAGCCAGGTTGGGCTCAACCATCAAATTTTAGCTATTTTGCCATAGAAGGCCATAGTGTGAGTAGGCCCTTACTACGAGCGTTGTTAAATATCATTACTAGAAGTCACTTCGCTTTCTAGTAGTCACTTAGCTTTCTAGTAGTCACTAGTAACACAGCCATCTGCATCGCGGTTGGAAACCTTTCGCTCTAGAAAGCAAATTCCGATCGCACCTTTCTGGCACACACGTTCCCAAAGCACATGCCACTCGTGCTTACTGCCCGTTAGGTAAATTAATGATTAATGGATTGGTTGGTTGTTTCCATTTGCATGTCTGTTACCTTTCTGAAGGTCTCTGATTTGTGGGCCTTTTGGTGCACCACCATAGACACACGTCGACTTTATCCGTGACGATGTTCCAAACTTATTTGCCTCCTGCTGAATCTGGACAGCAAGCTCTCGCGTTGGTGCTAACACGAGCACAATAGGCCCATCACCAGGTGCTGCAGAGATGCACAGGCAATAATATACAAAAACGAATCAGTAAATAATCACGGTGCGCATCAACAACGACACAAACTGGCATGAATGAGCAAATGCTAGATGCGACGACCACGAGGAGACTGATCTTTATTTACGCTTTCAAGCTGCTGCAGAGAGCCACAGGCAGTGAAATATAAACATTCGAATGCTCAATAGGACAATCACCAATACTCCCAAAACTGATCTTTAAACTCGAAGTACGTGTCACAATCATGTCATCCAGCAACAAAGACCGATGCACAATGTCATGGCGCAGCAGGTGAAAGTGTGTCATGGAAACACGTCTGCACCTTCCAGTCAGATTCATTCAACGAAGCAGCACTCGTCAATCTGGGACACTGACCCTTCTCTAAGGGCGTACTCACACAGTATGGACTTTTTCCACAAAGCTCTGGACGCCATTCCAATCAGATTCATCCAGGTCTAATCGTAATTGCAGCCAGATGCACTTTGGAAAGCGCCAGTCAGATTCATCCAACAACAAGTACACTCTTATGGATCACGCATGCATCCCTCCAACACCTCTGCACCTTAAACCATGCTGGAGCGAGAGCGCAACGAAAACACAAAAGGTTCCACTTCTCCTAAAAGTTGAGGACGAATTGTCATGTCACAGAAAGGCACAATCTTCCCAAAAAACACTGCCTGGTTATTACAACTCTACCTGGGCAGAAACCTGCCTTTCCCCACATTAGCAACGCATTAGATTAGATTCAATCGTGCTAGCTTAGATACTCACTTAGGGGAAAAAAAGAACAGAAAGCAAGGCAATGGTGTACCTCCAACGATGTCATACATAACCATCCCGTCTCCTTCGTCAGGGATTTCTCAGCGATCGAGCAAATGCACAATTTTAATTAAGTAATCAAATGAGTGCAGAACTCGTAAGAAATCACCCACAGTGCCTCGGACAACGCATAAATCGAGAAAAAAAAAAAAAAAAAAAAACACTACATGTGACGTCACATTCTTGGGTAATGATAGGCTATACACTCCTCCCTGCAATTCTTGGGATTCAGATCGTCCAAAATGCCGAAAACACTTTCTTCAGTCTCCTTTGCGTGCGCTTAAAAACATACATCCCTTCCCAAATGCTGCTGACCACACTCATGAAAATATCCAGTCTGGAGGGAGGAGCACAACCTTCCTCCAAGGGAACACTGCATGCTTGCAAGAAACAGTAAACTAAAGCCACAATTCTGACCAGCAATAGCAATGTGAACAAAACACCACCCGAATTTCACTACGAGTCCCAGAACTTATTCAACTACTGTGCCTTGCACCATACCTCCAAAATGAGAATGCGCAGGACTGTAGGGTGAAAAGGGCCATAGCTCACCTAGATATGGCTGCGCATTGACATGCACTATGGCAGGAAGCAGATATGCGAGTGTCTTTCCAGACCCCGTCTCCGCCAGACCAACGAGATCCCTTCCCTTAAGAGCCATCGGCCACCCTTGAGACTGAATGGCAGTCGGCTCTTTGAACCCTGCCTTCAAAACCTCGTGAAGAACATAATCTGACACATGACCAGAAATAACCGCAGCCAAATCATCACAGCACAACAAGAAAGCATAATCAATACACATTCTCTCTCTCTCTCTCTCTCTCTCTCTCTCTCTCTCTCTTGCATGTATGCACAGAAACACACACACTCGCTGGAATACTGCAATTGAAATCTGCGATAGCATACCTGCCCCAATCAGGACAAGCACACGCACGCACACACACAGCTCAAGACATCTGCCGTAGCATTTTTCATTATCGTGGATACAACTGGGAAAGTGAACACCGCTGAGGGAGCAGAGAGAAACAGACGAGGAACAAAGGCTGGCTGGTTCAGCAGGGAGAGCAGGATAGTAGAAAAAGAGATGACACAATCATCACCTAGCACCTATTCCATCAAGATCAGATTTCCATGAGCATACTTCGTCTTTAACGTACCAGCGAAGCCCCAAAATTGTGAAACGCAGACAGCAAAAGGAATGAAACCCACAGAAAGGGAAGAAGTCCGGAGCCCTCTTCTACTGGGCTTCATGAAGCATTGCGCAAAGTACGAAATTGGAAAAACACAAGATGGTTAGTGAAGGGCGAAGCTCAGTGTATAAGTGGCACCTTGTTGGTATTTTTGGTACTCTCTCGTTGTCCGGTCCACGTGGCGGTGCTTTCATGTGGGTTGTTCGGTCCACGTGTCGGTGGTTTCATGTGGGACTCGTCATCCAGGTTTTTCCTTTTGGCATCCTAGATTGGCTGGTTCCTGTTGTTTGGCCTATCAAAGGGGGCGGTGATTTTAGGTCGGAATAGTCATCTGGGATTGTCTTTATATATATACAAGTGGACCCGCTGCAGCGAGGGGGCGGAGGGAGGGATGAAAGTGTCATTTCTTTTGTGGTACACCGAAAGAAGAAGCACATGACAATAGTAGGAATTTGAAGGACATGACAAAATCATGAATGCGATTTTTGAGTTGTAAAGACAAACAGAACTGCAGAATCAAGGACCAAAAATGTCAACGCATTGAAACGAAAAATAGAAGTAAAATTTCAAATAATTTAAATGAAATCAATTGGAAGATTTTCAATCATCATCGTTGCACTTACATCTGGATATTTGGGTTTGTTCTCTCTCTCTCTCTCTCTCTCCCTCTCACACACACACACACACACACACACACACACATTCAAATAATTTAAATGAAATCAATTGGAAGATTTTCAATCATCATCGTTGCACGTACATCTGGATATTTGGGTTTGTTTGCACGTACATCTGGATATCTGGGTTTGTTTTCTCTCTCTCTCCCTCTCTCTCACACACACACACGCTGGAGACTTACATGTTCACCGGTGCGTCGATGGAAATCTCTCTCTCTCTCTCTCTCTCTCCACCCGGCCGTCGGTACCCGCCTCGGCCTGGGACTCGCCCCTGCAACCGTTCGCCTGCCCGCATCCCTCGTGTCACCGCTTCGGCCGTCGGTACCCGCCTCCGCCTGGGACTCGCCCCTAAGCCGCCACCGGTTCCCCCTCGCCCCACTGCCTCGGAGCGCCAAACAGATTTTCGCTGGGCCCAGCACGGGGCGTCACGCTGGCCCCTTTGTAGTCTTTTAGTCTTTAAGAGTATAGGGATATATATTGCAGGCAAGGGTGTTGATTGCTATCCTTGTTGGTCATTGTCCCGTCACTTGGCCTGTGACGTATGGGGCGGTGCTTGCATGTGGGACTTGTCATCTAGGATCTGTTATGTTTGTTTTTGGGCACCCTTGTCTGCATCCCGGTTGGTTTGGTCCCGTTGTTCGGTTCGGTCTAGTTTGGCGAGCGCAGCGGTGCTTGCATGTGGGACCAGTCATTCGGGTTTTTTTTGTTGTTCGGCCTACGAGCATGAATGGTTTAGAAATGGGAATACCCACGTCTTGATGACGAATAAGGCCATCCTGCTGTATATAGTTTTTTTTTGCAGGCAAGAGTTTTGTCCTGGGTGGTCTTGTCCCATCGTTTGGCCTGTGAAGGAGGGGCGGTGCTTGCATGTGGGACTTGTCATCTAGGATCCGTTTTTGGTGCTGCTGCTTGTTGGCCCCTGTTTTGTTGTAATTGGCTGTTCCCTTCCTCTTTTCTTTGCCTCTTTGCCCTTCGGCTGTGTAGTGGGTCGATATGACACACGGGGGTGGGGGCAGCCGCCGCTCAACCTACATCCACATGGGCGGCCTTGCACGCAAGAAGTTCTGAACAGGGGGAATTGTAAGCAAGAAGATAAAAAATGAATTGATATCGGAGGACAGGTATAAAAAAACAATCCTGGTATTGTCACACAGTGATAAGCCCACAGCACATTCCCGTGACAACTGCGCGACAAACCTGGAACGCACACACTTCCAAAACCAATGTGAAGAAACAGCAGAATAAAAATGTTGAAAGGCTAGAGAATAAAAAAAAGAAAAGAACGCAAGAAAAACGGAGAGTGGTGGCGATATCAACTTGTGTTGTCGTTTGCCAGGAATAAGAAGCAAATCAGCAAAAGCGCCCTACCTGGGAACGAGGCTTCGTCAAACGTGCGTATTGGTTTGGGAACCCCCGTGCCCTCCACTGATATATCCCTCCTCCTCCTATACTCTGCCACGTCCAGATCCGTCAATGCCGTGACACTTGGATGCTCCACGTAGAAATTTTTCTCAAAGGCTGGGAGATTATCAAACTGCTCCTTAGGTAAGGAGATTGAGCCCAGTTCCCTCTTCGCACTGCTGTTGTTCGAGTAGTTACTGCTTCCACCCCCCCCCCCCCCCCCCCCCCCCCCCTGATCCGCGTCCCATTCCTCCACCGATGCCCCCAGTCACACCGACTCCACCGCCGCTCCCCAAAGACGACCCGTAACTGTGTCCGCTAGGAAGGGCCCCGCGTCCGCCTATCGGCGGAACAGGGCCTCGAGGTGCAGGATAGGCCCCCCCAACGGCTCCAAGGTGCGTAGGCCCCCCCATGTTGTAAGGCACCCCTCCTGCCGCCGCTCCGCCTCCAAGGTACCCACCGCCCCCTGCACCAGCTAGTCCCACATGGGACACGGCACCACCCCATGATCCGTACAGCCCTCCGCCTCCAAAATCACTGCAACAAAGAACAAGACCAATGACCACAAAATACACGAGAGGCATGCAAGAAACTTGTCAGCCATCCGTTCTTCACCGCTCCCACAATTCATGACACGTGGACGCAGACACTTCTCTGCCGTCCATTCGCCTACAGCTTCAAAACGAGTACACAAAGAAAAAAGAAAAAAGAAAAAAGAAAAAAAAAGGCAAGCAGCGTTCTAGCATGCACTGCTCTATTCCAATCTGGGACACTGACCCTTCTCTTCTAAGGGCGTGTACTCACACGATAAGGACTTTTTCCACAAAGCTCTGGACGTGATTCCAGTCAGATTCATTCAGGTCTAGCCGTAATTGCAACCAGATGCATTTTGGAAAGTCACAGTCAGATTCATCCAGGTCGAGCCGTAATTGCAACCGGATGCATTTTGGAAAGTGCCAGTCAGATTCATCCAGGTCTACCCGTAATTGCAGCCAGATGCATTTTGGAAAGTCCTCGTGTGAGGACGCCCTACCTGTTTCATGAAAAGCTGGAGCGTAATTGCAGTCGGAGGCCCATTGTTTTGACATTTGTGCCCGCCCAACAGGACACGACCATAACGTCAAAATCGGTTCGCCCAACGACAAACCGTCGTCCCGTGTTCGTCCCAACATCCATCTACAAACTTCAAAAGAAGAAAGAAAGAAAAGAGAAAGGAACGCGCATTCCCTTTGCAGCCACCAAACACATCCGGTTGGCCTTTTTATGTGCACCCCATCTCATACCGCTCAACACGGGCCCAAATACGGGTTTCCTTAGGCGACACCGCGCGTGCCTGAAATCTCCAATCCAAACTTGTGCCGCAGATTCCAAACTTGGATCAACGAGTATATAACCACGCGGTTGCAACGACTCTGCCGGGAATCGAACCGGTGAGCTCGAGCTGAACAGCTGGACGCCTTAACCTCTGCAACCGTGACCAGGGGCAAGGTCCCACTTGCACGGATTAAGAGATTCTGGCCGTTGACCTCTGCTATCTACAGTCAATATCGCTTATTTCGTGTAAGTGGGACCTAGGCCCCCGGTGTTCCGAGGATCAATGGGCAAAAACACAGAGAATCCGAGCAGAGGTGGGACCTTGCCGCCGAACCACAGATGTACCGCACGAAACATGCCAGACTTACAGCAACCAAAATTGTACATTTCGTTATCAATAGAAAAAACATGAAACATGTCGGCCGCGGCTTGGCAAAACGAGCGGGGGAGTAGGCGGCTCAAATCTTGTTCGTTCATTATTGCTACCCTTGGCATACTTTTGCGTTTTCATGTTTTTGGGGGGCGGCGGACGGAGAGCGGGGGGACGGATGTGGGGCTGTTCACATCTTGTTCGTCTTTCGAAGAAGAAAAAAAAACATTGTTCGTCCATTGTTGCGACCCTTGGCATTCTTTCTTGCATTTTTATTTTTTTCGGGGGGAGGAAGGGCGGGGGGGAGGGGGGGAGGGAGGACGGGGAGCGGGGGACGGATTTGGGGCTGAAAGACTTACCTGGGCATGGGTTAAAAGGCATTGTACATCCGCTCGTCTAGGTTTCGCGCATCTGCAGATCCAGGTTCATTCCGGCGGCTGGGTTCTTTTGGCTCCCCCACACAAGTGGGGACTGCTTATGTGCTTTTCACTATTTTTTAATTACCTTCTGAATTCTTGTCCTCACATTTCTCAGTATTATATTCTGCACCATTGTCCGTTCCTTGGAATTCTTTCTTTTACTCAGTCCTCTCTTACACAGTTTATCTTTATCTAGTTCAGACAAGCGCGGCGTGTTTTCGTGATCAGGCTACTACCGTCTTCCCCTTAACATAACGCACCCTAAAAATGAATGTATACAAGCTATATTTCCGGCCAGATACGGCCAAAATGAGGGTGCGTTTGGTTCGCCTAACATATCGAATACACGCCGCAATTCGCCGGTGCTTTTGGTTCGCCTAACATATCGAACACGCGCCGCATTTATTCAGACAAGTCAAATCAAATAGTCAACATGGTCACATGACTTCATCAACCTTTTTCCCCTCCCTCCAGTCCATCTTCCATAACTTCTGTCATTCCTTCTTTCTACCTTCTGCCATTCCTTCTTCCATAGCTTCTCCATACCGTCTTCCATTCCTTAGTCCGTATTTTCTACTTTTGAGGTAAATGTCAGAACGATAGCTCCTTATATTGACGGCAAAATTGCATCTGTACCGATTTCAAAGACGGCAATTGCACGTGTGCACAGGAAACAGTCCATCTTGCACGTATACCCGGGAAATCCCCTGTTGAAATCATTTCCATGCCCGGTCCGTGGCCGATACCGAAAAATTGCAGTTAATACCCCAACTACTCCGCGAAAATGATTGATATACCAAGGACAAATTATGAACACACCCAACAACCTTTCGCCGCAATGGTCTTCTCTCTCTCTCTCTCTCTCTCTCCCTGTCCCTCTCTCTCTCTCTCTCTCTCACACACACACACTCGAGAAGAATGGGAGTGCGGATGAGGGATGGCGTGGCTATCCACGCGATGACATTCTCCCCATCTCCCACCTCTGTGCGTGTGTGCACGGGCGTACGTGCACGCGCACGTAAGAAAGAGAGGATCGTTAGGGCAAAATGGGCTCCTGGGGTATGACCGGTCCCACAATTGCGGGCCTAAGGCATAAGATGGAGCAAGGAGAGGCAAGCAGGGTATGAGGGAACGGGTCCCGGTAGACGTGCAAGATTAGCATTCCCCCCGCGCACAGGGACGATTCCTCTTTGAAGAAGGTACTAACGATACAAAAGGATACATGAACACACCCTTCCATACACACGGCTGAAAATTAGGCCGACCTCGAGAAATGGAGGCCTACTTCAAGAAGATGATGAGATCGTTTAGATGGGGAGAATGCGCAAGGGCCCCCTGGCCCAGGACCACTTGCCAAAAAAAGGAAGGAAAAACAAATTCCAAAGCTAGGTCTCGATACGCTGGGATCCCCTTGGCAAGAAGAACAGCTAGAAAATATATACATATATGAGCAGCCGTGACGTCGGTATGAGCACGGTATCCTTACTTTTGTTCAAGCACTATTGCGTGTAGATAGACAAGCACGGTACTCTTACTTTTGTTCAAGAACTGGACGAGAGCCCCCCTTCCTCAAAGGCCACGACGAGACCCCCTTTTAAAAAAAGAGAAAAAATCCGGGACGATACCCTGAATAACTACCGGATCGAAGGGTGGATTTATCAAACAGAGGAATTATGAAATAAGATTTGACTCAATTCGTTCCCTGTGAGCTTCTTGGAGTGGCGAAGTCCAGGTTCTTAGCGACAGCCCTGCCGTCGTTGCAGTTCCGCAGATAGGTATTCGCCAACAGCCTTCGGCTGGTTATGAATCCAAGCAAGACTGAAAACGTACCAGGACCTAACCGAGGTCCAGGTACACACGGAAATAACGCCCCAAGTCCCGATCGTTGAGCACAGACGTCAATCACGCCCATCCTCTGCCATCACCAGCAGAGGATCAAGCCCTTGAAATCCTTTTAGTGTTTTCATCGACCAGCAGAGGACAGCCGGCAAGCCAAGGCCTCCATGATTGAAGCGGATAGACGGGGGGGCAAGGGACACGTGGGCCGCACCGGATCGGAAAGATAGCTTGTATACTTCCTTGCCCATCTGTGAACATCATCAACTACCTACTTCCCCCGAATAGAACGTACGGTCATTATCGCTGTATATAGACTGAAAATTGACCTAAATACAGGCATAATTATGCCCGTACGTTCTATTCCAGGGAAGACGTTAGAAAGCTGCCTTCAGCGTTTTCCAAGCGTACCTGCCTTCGACGAAGGGGGTACCCAATTGCACAAGGGAGGGGATAGTAAACCATAAAAAAGAAGTAATTATTGTCATGCGTTCTCTAGACAAGTGGCGTCTCTCCTGTCGCTTCCCGAATAGAACGCCCGGACAGCGGACGGTGTATTCCCGTATTTGGAGGGCGTTCTATTCGGGTGGAGGGCGTTCTATTCCGGTGGGGGCATCTAATTTGGAGGGCGTCCCTATAAATTTCTAGGTTATAATCTATTAGATGCACCGATAATCACGGGGCAGCGGGCTGCGCTCTATTTGGGTGAGATGAGATGCAAAGGTAGGCCCTCCAGTGTGAACTACTTGGCCTGGCCTTCTCTTGCCAAGTCCAACCGAACAAGGGTTTCGCGAAGAACAAAAGGCCTCGCTCCACTGACTCTCCACATGAACAAAATACAAAAACAATATGGCGGTGCATCTTTCCATTTTTTTATCCATTGTGATTTTACACATTTGGTGCCTAGAAAAAAAGAAGTGGAGCGAGGGCAAAGAAAGAGAGCATAGAAGGAAAAAAAAAAAAAAAAAAAAAAAGAAGATACAACACCACTATAACGGCCGGGCAGGCTCTCACGCAATACGGTCAAAAACCCGCAAGGGACAGGCCTATTCATCCCCCCCCTTCTTCACGTCACCATCCTGCAGACAACTGCCTACGCAGACAGCAACCAATAGACCGATGTTTTTATCGCAGTATCACGTCTCAATCCATCTGCAAGGGCTTTTCATACTTATTTATTATGCACGTGATTGCGGCCAGATGCATCCAGGTCTGGCCGGCCGTAATTGCAGTCAGATGCAATTTGGAAAGCGCTAGTGTGAAAATGACCTAAAAGCCTTCCATGCAAAAGGACATGGAAACGAATCTACCAAAACTGCGACCATGGAAACGAGGAGATCGAGGTGTAAAAGGACCGCCTCACTATCATAACTGTATCTCACCGCATTTAAGGCCACACCTGGATGTATGTGACCGCGATTACGTCCAGAAACAAGTGCAAAAAAGTCCGAGTGTGAGTATACCACAGAGTTGGACAGCCACCTTTTGAGATACGAAGAGATGCACTCCCCGTCGACATTTCGAAAAATTAAGAGTTCCGCATTTTCGTCTCGGGACATGGGAACCCTCGATATCAGCGAGATGACCTCATCGATGGCTTGATTGACACTTCACCATTAACACTCAACCCCTCTTTTTCCTTTTACCGCTTGCCGATTACCAAGCCCAGCAAATCTCTCGCCGCCATAAGAAATAATTCGGAACAGCAGATGATCTTATACGACACGTAGAAAAGGACATTTAGAAATATGAAAAAAAAATAACCAACCTGCTGTCGTTATACCATCATATATATCGTCACAAACAGAACTGCCCGGTAAACCGTAGGCAGAGAGAGAGAAGAGGACAACAAACGAGGGGCTGTGACAAACTGTTTCGTCGGAGTTTCACCGACTCATTAGGAGGCTGACCATCATATATATATATAAGAACACCCAAAGACAAAACATCGAATAAATTTAAAAAAAAAAAGACTGGTAAACCTATCTTCTTTACATTAAAAAAAATATCTACTATGACTAGTAAACCTATCTTTACATTAAAAAAAATATTTAGTATACCTAGGTAAACCTATCTTTGCATTAAACAAAATCTAAAAGTATACCGCCTACAGTTAAATCCGACGGGAAATCTCACAGTGCCACCTACAGTTTTTAAATCCGACGGCACTTAACAAACCGTGAGCAAAAGGTACTTACTGTATTACTTCCGCTTGCCGTTATTACCAAACACAGTTCACCTCTCGCGCGCGTCAAAGCCAAGCACATCCATCCTGTACCCCCAGACAACCGCAAATCTACACTCTCGCCACCCTTCGCTGCCGCAGCCAAACACACCTCCATCTCCTAGCTATCTTATCGATGCTCTATGGGAGAAATAGAGATTGATTGGGGGCTCACGGAGCTTTCAATTGATCTCTTGCGAAGAAATTCACTATTTAGAGAGGTGGAACCAGATAGCAAAGGCGGTTGGCCACTTGGCAGATGATAGCAGATAAGAGGCGGAAGATCACCAACATTCATTAATTAGAGAGGTGGAAGCAGATAGCAAAGGGGATTTGGCTAATGGGCAGATGGTAGCAGATAAGAGGGCGGGGGACCACCACCTGGCAACCCCCAGTTCACCAACGCGGGAGGAAAGGAGTAGCAGTCATCTTCATTCGCTACTTCGATGCCCTCTACCTTAATAGACTCCAACCCCCAGTTCACCAACGCGGGAGGAAAGGAGTAGCAGTCATCTTCGTTCGCTACTTCGATGCCCTCTACCTTAATAGACTCCATCAACTCTCTCAAACCCCTCCCCTTCCCCCCCTCACTTCTCTCAAACCCCTCCTCCACAAGAACAGTCTCAACCCCCTAGCTGCTGCCCTGCTATATCTCCGAGGAACCACGGCAAGCACTTCCAAATCGACCTCTTTTCCGTTAATTCTCGTTAGTGGCCGATTAGGAAAGAGCACAGGCGGAAAACAGGGACAAAGAATAAACTGTTTCTACATCTTCGCGTCGTCCCAAGAGAGCATGACCCCTTCGCGCGCTGCAGGGAGTTTCCACTGTCAACTCGGCACTCCGCCTACGAGCCGCGCACGCCATTGCTGATCGCACTCCACTTGAAGAATACTCTGAATATCGTATTCCCGCGCAAATTAGTGAGAAATAGATGACAGGGAAATCAGTATTAACCTTTTTTTTTTTTTCACCCGGCAGGAAATAAAATGCACCCTTGCGAAGTGGAGGGAGAACTGGGGAGCTGTGTCGTCTCTGAACTCTGTAGTCCCGTCGAGAGAGCATGTCTCCTCTCGTGCACTCTGAACTCCTGCTACTCTCGTAATATAACCCGTTCCTTCCTCCACGCACCCCTGCATTACTACCCGGTCTTCATCCGAAAAGAACGCCCGGTCATTACAACTGTATTTGATGCGACTTTAGTCCAGATACATCCACAATGACCGGGCGCTCTATTCAGGCGAAGACGGTAGATGCCTCTCAATACGATCCAATCCAGCACTCTCTGAATAGCCATCGATATACAAAACCCATTGTCACTTGAGTATACAATGGCTCACAGAACAGCGACCTCATACAAGCTATCTTTCCGGTCAAATACAGTCATCATGGGTACCATGACAACATTTAGTCGATAGAGGAAGGAGATTTCAAGGGCTCACTCACATAACAGCGATCTACTGTCTATTACATTCATCTGAGCACTCCACCACCACAACCACCACCACCACCAAGGAAGCCCCCGCCATCATCCCCGACTACCCGTCTTCCCCAGATTCCAAGGCTCATATGCCTGTATTCGAGCGGAAAGATGGCTTGTATACGTTCATAAGCCGTGTGCGTTGTGTTCCGATGAAGACAGTGACTCTCCTCTCCACTACCGCCATGTACCCCCTCCGCGTGTGGCCCGCAGAAGCGCATATTCTGTCCGACTTAGAGAAGTCACGCTTCGCTTCTCTTACCCCAAACTGTCAGTCAATCCGTCACATCACTTCGTCAAACCTTCACATGTCATACTTCATCCGCCAATCTTGCAGCTTGCAATTGCTGCCCTTCCCCGCATCGAACGGACAGTCATTAGGGCAGTATCTAGACTGAAAGTTGCCCAAGTACGTGTGCAATTGCTGCCCTTCCCTCGTAGCTGCCTTTCCCTCGTAGCTGAACCTCCATCTATTATCGACGACCATCTTCCCCACATAGAACGCACAGTCATTAGAGCTGTATCTACACTGAAAGTTGCCCAAATACATGTGCAATTGCTGCCCTTCCCTCATCAATCAGCCTCCCGCCTCTAACTCAATTTGCCGACTACCATCTTCCCCGCATAGAACGCACGGCAATTAGTGCTGCATCTATAGACAAAGTATTTTTCCCGAAATACAGCTACAACGACGGCACTTTCTGCTCAAGGGGAGACAAGGGGACACAACGGGAGACAAGGGGACACAAGGGGAGACAAGGGGAGACAAGGGGAGAAGAGAAGGGGAGACGTTAGTCAACCTTCTCATATGTCTTCCAGGCTGCAGACACTTGTGTGATTGCTCAACGTTCGCATATATGATATTTCCCTTTAGGACAGATATGCCAACGGTCACAACCTCGCCATGCTGAATCAGTCGATCCTTCAGAGCAGTCAATTCTTCAGCATACAAACCGAAACTCTCAAGCCCGATACTTATCGATATCAGCAGTTCACATATTACCAGCGGCTGGCTGCGCATAAATACGCCAAGAAACACGAGACCCGCCAGACACCTACCATCCTCGAGGGCTGGAGTACGCCTTCGTTATCATACTACTTTCCATCAGTCAGCCATATCCTCCATAGCCCAATCAACGCCAGCCCAATTCCAACCACTCTACAAGACTTCCACCCTTAGTCCGTTTCCGCAGCAGTTTTAGCCCGTCAACACAAAGTTTTATCTCCTCCCAAAGCTCTCTCTCTCTCTCTCTCTCTCTCTCTCTCTCTCTCTCTCTCTCTCTCTGTGTGTGTGTGTGTGTGTGTGTGTGTGTGTGCGTGTGTATGTGTGTGTGTGTGTGTGTGTGTGTGCGTGTGTATGTGTGTGTGTGTGTGAGACAAACAATCGCACACAAAAGGAACGTTCAGTTTGACCCCTCACAACTTGGCCGTCGAATGGAGCAGGGAAATAAGCGCAGGTCTTTAATGTCCCATTCTTGAAGTCAAGACGATCGGGCTAGAGGGGAG